GTAACCAGCTCTGTCCCACTCATGTAGGACCTCATGACACTCTTCTGGCAGGCGATGAAGTTCTGGAAATATGAGAATATCGTGAGCCCTCTCCTTCAGCAGCCCCTTGGTCGGGTAGCCCCATCCAGAGAGATTGCGCATGTACAAGCTCTTCACATCATGGGCCCCAACATCAGGAACACGTCCCCCCTCCCTGTCCCGCGCTGGCCTTGTAGCCCCCCACCAAGGCCTCCACCTCGCGCTCGAGGCGGGCCTGCTGTGGGTCCAGGCTGCCGCTTCCTCCAGCTGCAGCGGGCTGGGGAGGCGGCCTCTGGCCATCTCCTGGGTCAGGGCCTGGGGGAGACGGCGCTGATGCTGGTGCCCCACCTCCTGAGCCAGCTGCCCCAGCTTCCGCTGGAGCCTCTGGCGCCTTCCGCTTCTTCCGCGCCCGCTCCACGACGTCAGCGAGACGCGACTTGTGCTCGTCGATCTTCGCCTGCAGGGCCCCGTACGACGCCTGAACTGCCTCGGACAGTGCCTTCTGCAGCTGCTGCTTGGCCTCGTCCAGCACCTTGAGGTCATCCTCCTGCACCTCGAGACCTGACAGCGACTCGAAGTTGATCTCCAGGTCCAGTTTGCCGTCCAGGACCTGCTGCACGTCGACGGTGGCCGCCGCCTTCGACGGGAGCTGAGGGAGGAACTGCTTGGCAGCTGCAATCTCCTCTCGCTCGGCGCGGTGTACCTCCTCAGTGGCCTCTTTGAGATCATTCTCGCTCTTCTCCAAGTCCCGTTTGTGGCGGATCCACGCAGCCTTGACCTTGTCCAACTGCTTCCTGGCTCTGTTGACACGGGCAGTGGCCTGCTGCAGTCCTTGTCCTGGCTGCAGCGGTGGCTTGGGGGCGGGCGCATCCAGCTCTTGCAAGATCCCCTGAGCCGCCCCTCGGACCCGTTCTGGCAGAAGCGCGGCCAGTCGGCGAAACTGTGCTGCGGGAGATTCGCTTTGGGCCAGCTGCTGCCCACCGCCACGAGACCGACCAGGATGAGGAGAAACAACATCATCATCAGAAAACTGACACCCACACACACACGTCCAATTCTTCGACTTGAGACGGTCCTGGAAGAGTTTTCTGCCGCAACTGCTGCACTCCACCATGGGCCGCCCTTTACGGTTCCCCCACCAACCAGACCCGAACGTACCGTTGCTGGGCTGGTAGGACGGCTGCCCTCTCGGCAAAGGTGGGTAACCGTGCCACAGGTCATCATCATCGTTCCGTCCTTTTCCATTTCCATTGCCCTTGGTCCAAGGGTTGTAGAGAAACTTATTGTGCCACGGCGCATGGCGCTGCACAACCATCTGCGTGCCGTAACTGTGTCAAAACTTGGGGCGAGCCCCAATACAATACACAGATATGAGCTGTTGGGGCCGCGTGCGTCTCTGAGACGCCCCCTTGCCACAATACTCTCGTCCGCTGCAGGACCCTGAGCCACCGCTACGGACTTGAGCCAAAATGGCTACGGACACCCGCATAGCAGGGATGAACAACTTTCCAAGGCTTGCCCTTGCGTCCTTGCCCCTCCAGCCCATCCTCAGCGACTTTCGCCGGCAAACCTCGTGTGAACAAAACGTTAGCATGGCCCTCCAAGGCCCTTTCGGTGGCGAGCGAGGGGGGGGAGTGAGAAGGAGAAGGCCTCCTCGGGAGGCTCGGAAGCCCCCCGGCCTTCCGGGAAGCTTCCTGAGCCTTCCCCGAAGGCCAAGAGCAACCTCGCAGAAGGCGCGAGGGCTTCTGAGCAGTCCCGCCGCCTTCTGCGAGGGCCTTCCCCCCCTCGCTCGCCGCCGACCCTTGCATCCTTACCGCGCACGTTTGCTGTGCGGGAGCAGGCGAGCAGGCGAGCGGGCGCCTTTTGCCGCCCTCCTCAGGGCGCCGCGCACGCCGCGCGCTCTCCCGCGCGGAAGCGGCGACGCCGCGTGGGCGCGGCGCCTGCTTCGCGATCGCCGCTCCTGCTGGAAGCCTGGCCGTGCGAGGCCAGGCGATGGATGGTGCCCTTGCAGCAATTCCGCGCACGCATTTTCCCAACCCTCCGGTGGTGTTGGGTTCTCGCTCTGAAGGGACGGCGCCCCGCTTTCCTCCCTCCCTCACCCCTCCCCCTCCTCCTCCTCCTCCTCCTCCTCCTGCTCCTCCTCCTCCTCCTCCTCCTCCTCCTCCTCCTCCTCCTCCCATCCTTGCCTTTGCCCTCCGCATGTCAACCATCACGGCACACCCCTCACACGTTTCGTGGTCCCACAGGGAGCTCCACCGAATGCCCCAATGGCAAGTATCGCGTGCGGCTCCCCGCCCACCGCATTCCCATGGCCGCACACCCCTCACACGCTTCGTGGCCCCATAAGGAGCTCGACCGAAGGCCCCAATAGCGAGGTTCGCATACGGCTACCCGCCCACCGCATGTCAATTTCGGCACACTTTCACACGCTTCGTGGCCCCATGGGGAGCTCCACCGAAGGCCCCAATGGCAAGGTGCATATGCCGCTACCCGCCCACCCGCATGCCAATTTTGGCACACCCCTCACACGTTTCGTGGCCCCATAGGGAGCTCCGCCGAAGACCCCCGCGTCAGGGTTCGCATGCGGCTCCCCAGCCATTTTGACACACACCTCACGCGCTTCGATGGCTCAGAGGGCGCTCCACCGAGGACGATACTCACAACGGCGCAACTCACGACTGCATCTGGTTGGGTACTTCGCCAAGATGTTGTGCTGCTTTCATCTTCTTTTACCTTTTCCGAGGTCCCGCTCCCGCCATTTTCGGGGGCGCGCAAACACAGATTAGCGGTCCATGGATTTGGCGCGCGGTCGCCAAATCCATGGATCGGGGAGGTGCCCTCCCCAGAATGCGGCCAGTGCCACTTCGTTCGGCAACGGACATGGACATCTGCGATCTCCTATGGAAGCGGGACCCGTCGCTAATCCGCGCCCCCTTGATCCATGCGCGGCCCGTTCGCTTCCTCCTGGCCGGTCAGGCTGCGTCAGCACTGGCACTCATGCCACGACATAGGCAAGGCGGGAGTCGGCCAGGCCCGCCGGCGCGTTCGACCTGGCTGACTTGACTCTTGCCAACTCTCATCCTCCCATCCTCCTCCGCCGCCTCCTCCTCCTCCTCCTCCCTCCTCCTCCTCCTCCTCCTCCTCCTCCTCCTCCTCCTCCTCCTCCTCCTCCTCCTCTTCCTCCTCATCCTCCTGCAACTCCAACTCCTCCTCCTCCTCCTCCTCCTCCTCCTCCTCCTCCTCCTCCTCCTCCTCCCCGTTTTCTCGTCTTTCGCCTGCCTCTCCCTTCCTGCGCAGCACCTCCTCTTCTGCCGCGGCTCTTGCCGCCTGCTGGCCCTCGGCTCGGAGCTGCTGCTGGCTGCCTCCAGCGCCCTGTCCGTGCTCCGTCTCTCGTCACCTCCAGCCTTGCTCACGTTGGTGAGCGTTTTTTTTGTATTCGGCGTTCGTTTCGACATTGGGCGGAAGGGGGGCGGAATCTGGCTCCAGACCTCTGCTTAGTGCGACTGTTTGGAACCGTGCGTCCTATGGGGGGGAGGCTCCCCCTGCTCGAAACAGACACCCACAACGGCCAAGATCTACTCGACGGGGGGGGGGGTGCGAGGGCCCGCGCCGATGGAATACAAAAACGATCACCTTGCTCACGTTACTGGCCTTGTCCTGTTTGGTCATCGACTCCCCACCCTTTTGACACACAGGATAGCGAACATACAGACGACGGTGGCTCGACTCCGAGCCTCCCCTTGCTCAATCAAGCGGGCGTGACTGGTCGAGGCGGTCAGACAGCCTGGTCACGTTTGGCTCACGATCCTGAGCATTTCGCATCCCTCGTTCATCCTCCCTCCTTCTGCCCAATCTTCCCTCCCTCCTCTTAGACCTCCCCCTGGGTCTTCCAGCTAGCCCATCGTCCGTTGGTCCACAACAAAAAAAAGAGGAGGAGGAGGAGGAGGAGGAGGAGGAGGAGGAGGAGGAGGAGGAGGAGGAGGAGGAGGGTACTGACACTCATTACGGGAACGGCCGATCGTACGTCCAACAAACAGAGCGAGGTAGTTTGATGGCCGACGCCGACCTGCAGCAGGTCCACGTCGTGCGATGCGGCCGCTGGAGATTCTGGCACCGCGTGGATCGCTCTTCGACAAGCCGAGGTAGTTCAACACTGCCCAGACTTGGGCAAACGATGGAATTCAACCTTCAGCGCCCGCGCAGACGTCGCCGCCGCGTCAGCGCGGCGCACACCTGCCGTACACCCCAACGGCAGGCGGGCCGCGCGCGACGGGACGGAGGCCGGCCGGCGGGCGGACCGTGCGAGACAGCCAGGGGGCGACAGCCAGGGGGCACAGCAAGCGGGCGGAGGGGGGAGAGAGAGAGGAGGCGTCCTCCTCGCTCCCTCGGCCGACCCCAGTGCTTCCTGCTGGCCCTCCGCCAGGGCTGCGCGTCGTCGTCGTCGTCCGCCTCTTCCTCCTCCTCCTCCTCCTCCTGCTCGCTCCTCGCTCCCCTCGTCCACCTCGGTTTGTGGATGAGAGCAGAGTCACATGCAACCCAGGCGTGGTAAGAGGGGCGAGGGAGAAGATGGGACAGGTGCTTAGCTGCCCCAATACGCAACACGCAACCCGTAGCGTGTTGACACGTAGCTCAACACGGAGATAGGAAACGTACGCTTGGCGCGACACATTCGCCCAAACGTGGGCCGACACGTACCGAGCCAGCACGTAGCGTGCGCTGACACGGACGCTTTGAGCACGGCACGTGTTGCGTGTCAGCACGGGCGTATCAGGGCACCGAAGGACAGGTGCAGCGTGCAAAAGGGGGGAGCGAGGCGACGGCGGCGACGGCGGATGCGGCGGCGGCGAGGGCGGCGGCGTCGGGGGCGGCGGCAGGAGGCCGCGGCAGGACGGCGGCGAGGACGGCGGCGGCGGGACGGAGGCGGCGAGGACGGCGGCGGCGAGGACGGCAGCGGCGGCGGCGAGGGCGGTGGTGCGCGTCTCCTCTGGCTGGGCGGCACGTCGGGCCCCTGGCCGTGGTGTGGCCTTGGCCTGGCCGCCTCGTCGGAGCGGTCGGGCTGCCGGGCGTCCTGCGGGCGGGAGGGGGTGGGGGGAGGAAGGAGAAGGGGGAGGGGGGGGAAGAGAGGGGAGGAGGATGAGAGGGGGAAGGCGGAAAGGGGGGGCGAGGAGGGGGGGGATTTGGGGAAGGGGATGAAAAGCACACTTAGCTCCCGCCCCCCGGGAGCCTGATGAACAACGCGCCCACAACTTTCCGCGCTGCATCCTTGCATCGGATTGCTAGCCATGGGAACAATGTGGAATCATGGCGCTCAGCGAAATGTCCATCGATAGCCCTGTTTTGAAAAGGAACAGCCCCACCATGTATATTCATTGAACAAAGCTTGCGCTTAGAGGTTCTTGCTTCTTTTGTAAGCAACGCCAGTGCGGCGGTCTGGCGGCCATGTTGTCGCCGTCGCCGCCCCGTCGCCGCCCCGTCGCCGCCTCCTCGCCGCCCGTCGGTGTGGCGATTTGGCGGTTATGTTGTCGCCGTCGCCGCCCCGTCGCCACCTCGTCGCCGCCTCTCGTCTGGGCCACATAGACTACACCACATAAGTGACACGATCTATGATGCACGGCGTATATTGCACAACACAAATTGCACAACATAAGCTGTCGAGCTTAAGCAAATTGGGATATACCCCCCTACAAGGTTATCGGTCCACCCTGGGGATGTGCAAGTCACATACGATTCTGCGCCGTCGTTCATGGTGAAAATGCAAGTCACTCCATCCCATTTAGGCCGGGCTCCATCCTGTTCAAATGATGCCATCCGCGCGCCGTCGTTTCTCACAAACCACCCGTCTGCAATCATCTCTTACGAAAAGATGCGACGAAATGCGAACGCGCGCGTCGTCGCGCGCATACTGAAATCTTTCATACACCTTGGGTTTCGTAGGAACCTCAAAATCGGCTGTCCCGAACACATATGCAATACATTTGTTTCGCCCGTTTTTTTGTTGTTGTTTTTTTATGTTATTTTTATGTTTTCTTTTCTCCCTTTCTCTCTATATGCACATTATTATTATTATTACTATTATTATTATTATTATTATAATTACTATTATACAGTATTACATATAAACCAAAAACAACAAATACCATCACATGCGACAGAGCGGTCCTTGCTGGCGCGCATATTGGGATCATTCGAACGCCTTTGCGCGCGTGCTGGGGGGGGCGGGCGGGGGGGCACGATCCCTGTGGGGTGGTGCCGTGCGGGCCAGTCGCGCCCGTCGGCCGCGCGCGCATGTTGGCATCCGTCCAGAACCTTCATCACCCATACGTTGACACCATCATCGTCATCGGCGTGACCCAAATTGGCGCGGTCATTGGCCTTGCGTCGTCAGTGTCATCGTCGCCACCATCACCGCTACCAACATCATCAACACTGCCGTTGCCGACGTCGCCACGATACTGCGCCCCCCCGAACCATCGACTCGCGCTGAAGTGCCCGCGCGTCAGCGCGGATTGTGAGACGCTTGGGAGTGCCCAGCGGTCAGCGCCGCCGAAGCCGCGTCGGTCAGTGCGCGAGCTTGCGCGAGCTTGTGCGGCCGCAGCGATGCGCCAGCCAGTGCCAAACAGTCATCGCAATCGCCGGCGCATGGGTTTTGCAAGCCATGTTGCGGGTGGGGGTGGGGTGGTTGCGCGATCAGTGGAGCTGACAGCTTCAATCTCGACAAGGTGATTTGCACCACGCAGATTTGAACCACAGATATGGTTCGACAGATATTGTTCCATATCGACTCCTCCACATAGATCGACCAGCCTTTTTTGCGCAACCTACAAACACAACGTATACTCTCTTTTCTAAACTAATAATACGATATGCCCCCCTTTTCGTACTGCAAGTTGCATATGCTTATGCCCCATCGTCCACCATTAATTAGAATTCGCGATGCTCCAGCTACATCGGCCCGCCCCCCCTCATCCTCTGTGGCAGACTACGCGCGCGAACCTTTTTTTCAACACAAATCGCCAGTTTCCGAAAGATCCCTTGCAACAGATGGGGCGAACTGCGCGCGCGCGTCGTCGCGCGCGCATGCCGGAATCCTACAATAACCTTCGGTTTCGAACGGGTTTCAAGTCAAGGGTCCCAGACGCATATAAACCACACGGGTTCGCAACCCGAATGAGCCAAACAAAACATGCGCTCGCCTTCTGCATACTCTCAAGACAATCAAGAGTCTTGCAACGCTGTTATCAACTGCTACCGAACGGGCCTTTCGCGCGCGCATTTCGCAATCGCTTGGACGCCCTCGCGCGCGCGCGCTGTCGCAGCGCTCGCGTGCAACAGACGGGGCGAAATGCGCGCGCGCGCCGTCGCGCGCGCGTGCGGAAGTACATCGAAAACCTTTAAGTTCCGCGGGGATTTCAATCTCGAGTGCCCCGAATACACGTAACATACATCTGGTTTGGACACGTCAATTTTCACGAAAGCCTGCGCTCGCGCTCCTGCGAATTCTTGAGGAAACCATCAGGCCATCAAGGTTTTTAGCATTTTCGCTGGATTCTGCCAAAAGGGCCTCTCGCGTCGCGCGTCGAAATAATTCGAGGGCCCTTGCGCGCGTGCTTGGGGGGGGGGGGCGGTCCGCGTCGAAGAATGCCGTGCAACCCAATCTCGCGCGTCGTTCGCGCGCGTATGTCGAACTCCTTCCGGCGCCTTCCATCGCCGACGTGGGGATGCCGTCGTCGTCGTCGGCGTGATCAGCCGTCGTTCGTTGCCCTGCCGTCGTCGTTGTCGTCGTCGTCGCAACTGCCATCGTCGTCGACGTTGCCCTGCTGCCGCGCGCGCCCAAGTCGCCGACTCGCGATGAAGTGCTCGCTGGGAAGCGCCTGGCGGCCGCCGCCATCGATGCCGCGTCAGTCGCGCCGGACAGGGGGGCCGCTCCGCGCGCGTGCGCGTGCGGCCGCAGAGACGCGCCAGGCAACGCCCGGCACTCAACGCAATCGCGCCCGCATGGGTCTTAAAAGCCAAGGTGCGGGCGGGTGGGTGGGATGATTGCGTGAGCGGCGGAGTTGACGACTCGCTGCGGACAGAACGTAATTGCACCGCGTGAATTGGGCCACTTAGACTGCCCATCCTATGTTGCGCATCATATATTGCCCAGCGTAGATTGCGCCTCGTAGACTGCCCCACGTCGATTGCGCTGCTTTGATGGCCACGTATACTGGACAACAGAGACTGCTAGAAGCACGCTGTTCGGGTTCCACACTGACTGGCGTAACTGTTCCACAAGTTATGTATATACTTGGTCATGGGATGTGAAGCAAATCGCACGCAATAGAAAACACAGACTTTTGTAAAGCAGCCGCCGGCCATCCGTGCAACTGCTACATGCGCTCATGCGTCCGGTCGTTAACTTTGAGAAGGTCTCGAGCGCGAGCCCCATTTTGCAAGCGATCTGTCCTCCATCAGTGTAACTGTTCTCGGCTTGCGCAACGAGTGTGAGCGTCGCCGATATCGACGGCCGCATTTAGGAAATCGGCCGGTTTTCATCCTGCGAGCGTTTGCAAGCTTTTGCGTGAACTTTGCGCGGCCTTGAAGCGAAAGCCGTATTTTTTTGGAGCGGTTGCTCAAGTCGACAACGGATGTGCTCGGCGCGACGACGACAACCGTATGTTGAAGCCCGCCGGTCTCCAGCCGCGCACCCCTGTTGCGTGCTGGAGCAGCGAGCGTGCGCGGCGCTTAGGCGACAACCGCATCTTGAACGCCCTTTGGCCTCCACCAATGTAAGTATTGTTTTCTCCCGACCACCCTGTGGCTTTTGGGTCCTCGCAGTGGCGAAACAGCGCACCGCGTCTCCCTCCACTTCTCCTCCTCCCCCCTCCTCGCGCGTGGCCGAGGCGCTCGGTCTCCCCGCGGCGTCGCCGCGCGCGCAGGCGCTGCGCGTGGGCGCGGGCGGCGCGGGGGCTGTGGCCTCGTGCCGCGAGAGGGCTCGCCCTATCTGGGCCCACTTCGAGGCTTGCGATGTAGCGTCGAGAGACCAGCGGGCATGTCATGCGCAGTTCGAGAGGGGGCCGCAATACTGAGGATATCGAGCTCATTGCAGCCTTCGCCCGCCGCCCCTGCCCTCGCGACCTCGCGGGCGAGATCTCGCGCCCTCGGGCGCTTCAAATCGCGCCTCGTATCTTCGGGTGCTCGGCGTCCGACGCAGCAGTGGGGCCCCCCCTGCCGAAGCCTGTGCTGGGCCAGCCAGGCTTTCGAATAATTGCGAACTGCCGCGAAAGAGGGCGCGGGCGGAAGCGGGTCGAGGGCGCGGCTGTCTCGCGGCCACTCGGCGGCCCGAATCCTGTGCGCCCCCCCCGGGGGCGGGGGCCCCGGCCAGCGGGGGGAATTCGCTGGGCGAAGGGCCCCGCTAGATGAAGCTGTGACTAACGCACGTGTAGGTATTGTCATCGGTGAAGCTCCTCATGGGGCCGCGAAGCGCGTGGGGGGCGCGCCGAAATGGGCGCGGCGGGCGCGTGCGAGCGCATCCGCCGGGGCCTTTGGCTTGCGAGACGCGTGGGGGGGCGCGCCGAAATTGGCGCGGCGGGCGCGTGCGAGCGCGGCCGCTGGGGCCTTCGGTGGAGCTCGCGAGGCGCGCGCAGGGTGCGCTGACTAATCACAGGGCAGATCCCAAAGAGCCGCATCTTGGAGCCCCCAGTAAAGCCATCGCACTGCGCATGCTGGTGGAGGGTCCGCAGGAACCACATTAGGGGCCCAGGAGGCGACGCGCCTCGGAGGACCTCCGCGAGCCACGTCAGGGGGGCGGCGGGCATGGCCAAGGATGCGTCGCGCGAGAGGGTGGCGGGGCGGCCCTGGGCGGGCCGGGCTGGGATGGACCGTCCTCGGGAAACCGTCGATTTCGATGGCTCTGCTCCGAGGCTTCTTGCCAATGGTGGCCCCTCGCTGGAATTGGCAACTGACATCGGCCATCTTGACCGCGGGAGGTCTGCTGATCTTCCCCCGAATTCTTCTGGCCGGGCGGCCGCCTCGATTGGGCGTCGTGCGCGGCGCCGTTCTGGTTCCCCCTTTGGAATGGAGCCCCCG